AATACCGGGTCTTGTCACCAGCTCCGATTCCCCGACTCAGTCTCTCCCTGTCTCCCTGTCTCTCCCATAATCCATTGCACCAACCCACCCTAAATCTGAACCCCACCACCATCGCAACCCAATTCGAGGAATAAAGAGAGGGAGAGAGAGAAGAAGAGAAGGATGGAGAGAGTGGGAGAGAAGGAGAGGTGGGGAGAAGAAATCCATCGGGAGCGCGCATCACCACCCTTACTGGCCCGTGGAATTCCCCAACTCATTCTTTCCCTCTCTTTCTTCGTCTCGCACACACTGAAACAAATCACAAATAAAGTGTAATAATTAATTTAGAAGCTAGGGATTCCAAACAATAGAGAGTTTGGTCCAATTAGCACCAGGCCCTGACCCAAAACAGATTTAAACCCATAACTTCAAGCTTTGTTCTGAATAGCCTAGTTTTTTTGGGCTTTGTATTGATCCTATAGGAATAAAAGTTGATAATGAGAAGATCCAAGCTATTCAAAATTGGCCAATACCCAAAAGCTTGCAGGAAGTCAGAAGTTTCCATGGATTAGCTTCATTTTATCGGCGATTCTTACTAAATTTTAGCACTATTTCCGCTGCCTTGACTGATTGTATGAAGAAAGGAGGGTTCATTTGGATGCCAGAAGCTGAAAAAAGTTTCCATATTGTCAAAGAGAAGTTGTCCAATGCCCCCGTACTTGTTATACCAGACTTTGAGAAAATATTTGAAGTCGATTGTGACGCTTTGCATGTGGGCATTGGGGGATTCCTTAGCCAAGAGGGACATCCAGTGGCTTTCTTTAGTGAAAAATTGAATACAATAAAGAAAGAGTATTCCACCTATGATATGGAATTTTATTCCATTGTGCAAGCACTTCGATTTTGGCGGTCTTACTTGATTCAAAGGGAGTTCATATTGAATACAGACCATGAAGCTCTTAAGCATATCAATAAACAAGGGAGGTTAAATCGCAGACATGCGAAGTGGATTGCTTTTTTGCAATAATACACATTTGTGCTAAAGCATAAAAGTGGACGGTGCAATCAAGTGGCAGATGCGCTTAGCAGACAGGTGACACTTCTCAATACAATGCAAATCCAACTTGAAGGATTTGACCACATCAAGAGTCTGTACGTCCAAGATGAAGATTTTGGTGAAATTTGGAGCTTATGCAAAGAGGGTCACCATGAAGATTACATTCTACAGAATGATTATCTTTTTAAAGGCAATTGCTTGTGTATTCGAATATGCTCCTTGCGAGAGTATATTATTAAAGAGCTGCATTCTGGCGGTTTAGGTGGACATTTTGGGAAAGATAAAGACCATTTCCCTTGTGAAGGACATGTATTTTTGGCCTGCAATATATCGAAATGTCATCCAATATGTGAAGAGGTGTCGTATATGCCAAACTAGCAAAGGGAAGAAACAGAATACTGGGTTATACATGCCATTACCCGTTCCAGCAGCCCCTTCGCATGATATAAGCATGGACTTTGTAGTTGGTCTGCCAAAAACCCAGCGAGGTAATAATTCTATTTTTGTGGTTGTTGATTGTTTCTCTAAAATGGCTCATTTCATTCCATGCAAGAAAACAATGGATATTTCCTATATAGTTGATATTTATTTTAAAGAGGTGGTTAAGCATCATGGTGTTCCAAAGTCTATTGTTTCGGACAGGGATACAAAATTTCTTAGCCATTTTTGGAGGCATTTGTGGAAGAGAATTGGTACTAATTTGCTTAGTAGTGCCTACCACCCTCAAACGGATGGGCAAACTGAGGTCGTGAATAGAACATTGGGCAATTTACTCAGGAGTTTGTCCGCAAAGAAGCCAAAACAATGAGATTCAGTACTTCCTCAAGCAGAATTTGCCTACAACTCGAGTGTAAATCTTTCTTCAGGAAAGACTCCATTTGAGGTTGTCTATAGGAAAACTCCAGGCCACTATCTCAATCTTGTACCCATTTCTAATCCTACAATAACCAACAAGAAAGCAGAAGAGTTTGCTGTTTCAATGGCAAGGGTTCAAGAGGATGTGAAGAAGAAACTCGAGGAAAGCAATGAGAAGTGCAGCAAAGTTGCCAATGCTCATCGGCATGTGAAGATATTTCGTGAATGTGATCTTGTTTGGGTTTATTTGAAAAAAGAGCGTTTTCCATATGGCGCTTATAATAAATTGAAGGAAAAGAAAATTGGTCCATGTCGAATTTTGGAGAAGATCAATGACAATGCTTACAAAATTGAGTTGCCTTCGAATATTTGTACCCATCGTACTTTTAATGTGCAAGACTTGTCTGAATATCTTGGCGAATTCAATTCAAACTCGAGGGCGAGTTTCTTCTCACAGGGGGAGTATGATGCAGTGCACTAAGGGAGATGTTTAATGACTGATCTATTATTGGGGTAATTGGGAAGTCAAGAAGTCTTGGGTGGTGCAGGAGAATAAATTTAGATGCATGATACATGTATCTTAGTTAATATTTGAGTCCTTTCATTTGTTTCTGTTTTAGCTTAAATAAGAGTCTGTAAGCTATTGTGGAGGGGATCAATTATTAAGAATTTCAATTGTAATGTCAAACAGAGCTATGCTCTTTCTATTATCAAAGGCTCCTTCTCTTCGAACGTCTCATGCAATTTCTAGCTATTTCGCATCAGCACTTTGTATTTCATCAATCACAATACCGTGTGGCTAAAGAAACATGTATAGGGTTTAAATGACAGTGGCATGTCCGTCAATAATTTGAGTTTTATAACTAGAAAGATCAGAGGACACAGAGTCTCCTAGATGTACCCAAATGACAGGAACATAAGGGCCCCACAAACCACATGGCGTTCTGATCAGTTCAAGTCTCAACTGATCCAGCAGGTCCCGTTTGACAAAAATGCCAACCCCCAAATTCTAGCAGATCTTCAAACCCCTCAATGACCTACAGAGGAAATAATGAATTTTCATTTTTACTTTCTCTCTGGAATATCTCATCATAGATCAAACCCCAATATAGCAAGAAGTAGCCACTCAGTCATTCCATAAACCATAGCCCATTCCCATATGAAACTTGGGTTCTTCGTTGTATCATTTGCAGGACTTCTTATTTCTTGAACTTCCATTAATTCCAAATCGTATGAAATTAACTGCCACCGCAGAAGAAAAAAAAACAACAAAATTAACATGCATGTAAAGGGCATCTATTAAGAAAATCACTTCAAGCTAAACAGGCCTAGGAAATAATCAGAAGGATTTGGAATGATATATGGCATTTACCTTTCATTTCTTCAAGAATCTGTTTACTACTATAGCAGCCACAATTATGTGTGAAATTAAATTCAGCCGCTTTGCAGACTGAAGGAAACAATTCATCAAAATTTGCGTACCCTTGCAACCAACTAACCATTACTCTCACAAAACTCTAGATGTACATTTATTTAGAGGATATTCCTATAACAGTTTCAACACCACATTTGATGTAGCAGTTAGAATGGATAATGTGTTTGCTTGTTTCTCTGTAAGTGTAAAGGTTGCTATTAATGAATGTAGATACAGATTCAATCACTTCAATTGTTAACCCACTATAGCTGATATCACCATCCATGGGAGCATGCTTCACTTCTTAATCTGAGGACAACATAGAACTAATACCAGTCAAAGCCCGAGGTCTGTGCTCAATGGTAAACAAGGACATCCCAGTTTGTGAAATTGCTCTCACAAATGCCTTATTTGCCGTTACAGTTGGAGCACACCAGTAATCACCAGTACCAAAAACAACCTTATTCTTCAAAGCCAGTTTTCTAGTGGTTGGAAGGTTCATCATGCGTTCAGAAGGACTATCAGGAACAACCCTATACCAGTCCTAAAGGTTATTAGTGCAGGATAATACAAAAAAAAAAAAATTAACCACTATTAACCATAGATATATAAGGGAGCAAAAATCATCAAACAGATCAAACAAAATGTCAATGAAACTCGAATTTTTTCGGACAGGCTTAACCCTGTTTTGACTTAATGCAGATTGCAGACTAGGGTTGGTTGGTTCTCACAAATGTCTACTGTGCTTGTTTCCCTATTTCTACAATTTTTTTCTTTTCCTACATATATAAAAGAATAGAAAAAAACGCTATAGATATGCTTAATGTCCTACACTGAGGGCAACAGAATCTACATACTTTACCAACCTTGGAAGCAAATATGTAAGTGTAATTCTCCAAATGCAATCTAAGAAGGTCAGAAGTGAATGTGAATCCACCTCAGGCAATGGAGATAAGGATCAAAGTCGTCTGCACCTCTCTCTGTCGCAGTGACATCACTGCCTGGGAGTCTCAAGTACTCTCATCTTCTTATTTTGTCGTCCTCTTTTCCCCATTTCTTTTCTTCTTCTGTTCAACACAAATAGAGATAAAACAATATTACTTTTCCTTCAGTTCTTTTTTTCTTGTTTCCTGCTTCTTGAACATCTAGGAAAATAATCATTATCTGGCTAGGAAAATTCGTTTAACTATTACTTATGGTTTCTGTCTGACCAAGAAAAATTAAAACTTTGTTTGTGCCACTGCCAGATATGCTTTCTTCTTTCCGGATGGATTAATTTTCTTGTAAAACAATTGTCCAAGATTAGTCATTAAAGTAACTGAGAAGAAGTAAACCTTGGTTTAAAGTAATGAACTTATCCATGAATTAATATCCTGTTTAAATTTTTCGAAATTCAGAAAAAAGTTATTTATGTATATTGTTGCTGAAAATTTATCAACTGACTATTCATCTTACTGAAAAAAGTTATTTATGTATATTGTTGATACCAAAAATATGATTATTTATGGATACCCCTTGATGGTTACTGAACATGGATTCTCCTTAAAGAGCATTCTACCTTCTCCCTCACATCATCACATGAAGCAGGAGAATACTCGTATTTCATCCACACCGCCGTTCTTTCAATGCAGTTGTATGCCTTGCTTGTAACATGTGTTGAGCTAAATTGGCCCTTCCATTGGATGCTCAGGTTTGGGTTAGAGGTGATACTTGAGGTATAGAAGTGAGGAAAATGCTTGGCTCCTCACTGGTGAGGAAGAACTTTTTCCTTCCTACTGAGGTGTCACACTCACCATTTTCTCCTATTATCTTTGCAACATTAAATGATTATAGTTAACAACAATTTAATATGATACTCCCCACCATTTTCAACAATTCATGCTTTTAAATCGGTGATTACCTTCATCCACACTGGTGAAGAGCCAAGCATTGTTCTACAATCAGAGTGTGTTGAAGATAACCATGCTATACTGAACTGTTGCTCTTGTGATACACTACAGCACCAAAACTTATTTCCTTAGGTTTGGAAGTAAAGGACAGTTTCACTTATATAAGAAATACAAAAAGGCGTAGAGAAAATATCTATAAGGTTTGAATGGTTTGTAGGGTGAGGATGATCAACTACTCCACAGTGCTGTGATATTATATTATTATTGCTAATTTGCTATACTTCTTCAGGTGATATAAGTTCCCAATAGCTATTTTTCAGGATTGTCGAGAGTGTTGGGCAGGGAGTTACTGAGTTTACTGAAGGGGACCATGTGCTAACAGTCTGTTGGAGTTGGCTCGACTAAACGAAGGAAAGAAGGAAGCAGCCCAGCATGCAGGCGCTCGAGCGGAACCTGCAGGCGCTCTGTTTTGTTTTCTTCACTTGCTATATTTAATAAATTTGTCATCTTTTTTGTTAATAATTTAATTCTTGTTTTTATTTTGGGCAGAGGCTAATGCGAAGGAAGTTGATAAAGTAGCCAACCAGTTGCTTCTTCTTCAGGTAATACTGTAAATATGTGTATAGATGTATGTAGCAGTGTATGTTTGTATTTCATTACCCCCACTCTCTCTCTCTCTCTCTCTCTCTCTCTCTCTGTGTCTGTGGGGCCTGCGGGTTTTGGAGAGGAAAGAAGCTATTGAAGAGTTGACACGTAATAAATTGGAAAAACAGAGTATAGCCGAGCGGCTATAATATTTATTTAAACAAATTGGGAAAACTAGTATCGCCGCGCGGTCGTACCAGCTCGTTAAACAAATTGGGAAAACCGAGTATAGCCGTACGGCTGTACTATCTTGGAAGCAAATATCCCTTCTTGTTGTAACCATTCCTTCCAATCCATACTCTGCATTACGAAAAATCGGCCTAGGCGGCCTGGGCAGGTCTGCGCAGCGCTAGGAGGGTTTGGGCAGCGCTTGGCGGGTATGGGAGGCGCTAGGCGGGTCTAGGCGGCGCTAGGCGGGTGTGGGTGCCAGGGTGGGTCTGGTTCTTTTCTTTTGTTTTTTAAGCCTACTGCCTAGCGATTTTTCAAACTTATGCACTGCAGGGGTGGTCTAGACGGCGCTGGGAGGGTCTGGGCTGCGCTAGGACGGTCTGGGCGGCGCTAGGCGGGTCTAGGCGGCGCTAGGCGGGTCTGGTTCTTTAGGGTTTAGGGTCTGGGTGCCAGGGTGGTTCTGATTCATATGGGAGATGATCCTGACCTGGGACTGACAGAACCTCCACCTGATGTTGGTAATATGTTGGTTCTCTCCTATAGAGCAGCAACATGTACTATTTCCAAACCTCGTCGTCTAAAGACAATTTCTTTGTTCGCTCACTCCAGCCAACCTCGTCGTCCTCGTCTGGTTCTTCTTTGCGCAACAAATGCAAATGTCATTGCTTTGCGTAAAACAACCCGATGTCATCACTGCGAAGGTATGTATGTAATTTCTACAATGCATGCTTGCTGCAATCTTCACATTCACAGAATGAATATGGAACTATGATACGGTCATGTACTCAGATCTTTGAGGGGCATTCGCACTATGTGATGCAAGTGGCATTTAATCCGAAAGACACCGATACTTTTGCTAGTGCATCACTTGATGGCACCATTAAGGTATTGAAGGCACTGTTAATTTGTTGCAAATTACTTAACTGCAATATTTCTAGTGTCATGACCTTTGTGACACTTAAATTTTTGCAATGTCCTGTTTCATTGTAGATATGGAACATTGGTTCTCCTACCGCAGAGTTTTCCTTAGATGGCCACTCAAAAGGAGTTAATTGCATCGATTACGTCAGTCGCGGGGATAAACCATATCTATTGAGTGGCTCTGATGACTTTACTATTAAGGTTTGGGATCAAATGCTGGTTATCAGCTTTCTGTTTAGCTCTATATGTACAGCGCACGATTATGATGCGTATGTGTGTCATACTAATTTGAATTTTATTTGTAAATTTTTTTGGCAACAGGTATGGGACATTGAAACCAAAAGTTGTGTGCAAACTCTAGAAGGTCATGAGCACAATGTAACAGCTGTATGTGTTCATGGTGAGCTTCCCATAATAATTACAGTTTCTGAGGATGGGAACGTTCACATATGGAATGCAATCACTTTTAGGTAACTTCTGATCCAAACTACTTACATTACAAATTAAATTGACTCAGTTTTCTGTTTAATTCTTGCTATTGCATCGCTTTGATCGAAACTCATGTTGTAAACAATTCTTGTTGTATCACAGGCTAGAGAGCACATTGAACTATGCTCTTGAAAGAGTATGGGCCATTGGACACTTGAAAGGATCAGACAAGTAAGTTTCTTTTTTGTACTTTCTTGTGGGTTAGATGTGTATCTGAGAGGATGATTCTGCGAGTAACCGTTCGATATACAAGCATGTAAATGTGGCAGAGGACTCTCAATTTTTTGCCCTTAGCTTGTTAGGATTTGTTTTATTGCATTGTTTTACCAGCATATTTATCAATATATACTTTCCTTGCTTCCTACAGGGTTGCATTTGGTTTTGACAAAGGAACCATTGTGGTTAAAATAAATGGCTCTCATACTTGGGATTCTGTTAACCTCCAAGCATAGAAGGAAAGGTTGAAGGAATAAAGACATCGAATGCTGAGCGATTTGTACTGTGTTCTCTTCTGTCATTGTGTTAAAGCCAGCACAATTTGTACAGGCTTGTGTTTGAAAGCTTGTAAGAAGACGCTCCCAGACCCTCTCTACTACTGCAATCTTGGTTGCACAACTTCCATCTGCACCAACCTCAGCCCTGGTACGTTTCATGCATATCAAATATGAGCACCTCAATATCCAGAATCACAAATGGGACCTGAATTTCCATATCCATCTTTTTTATTTTTGGGTGGAGATTATGTTGTTATTAATCCTGTTGATAAAATTAACGCTGATGTGCAAGCATGAATAGTTTTTTTTTTTTTTTTTTTTCCTACTTGTGTTCAAAGTAGATTCTTACTTAAATTGCGTGATGTGTAACATGCAGAAAAGCTAGAAGGTTGTGCGGATTCATGCTCAGAAAACTGCAGAGAAGTTTATGCTGCCAACTAGTATTTGTAAAAGCATAATGAATAAAAGACTCTCAACTGGTATTTGTAATAGCAGACAATATATTGTTGAATAAGAAAATATTGAGAGGTTTCTAATTTAAATAAGTCTATGATTGAGGTGGTTGTCGGGGATGTCATTGTGGTAAGAAATCTATAATTTTCGTGTCATAAATTTCTTACCTTCATCATCTGAACGTGATATGATCAACTATCTACTTGCCCTCAATTTGAACCCTCTATCAACAATTGAACAAAATCCAAACCCATAAATCATAATTTTGAAGAACGCTAAGCCCAAAAAAAACCCCAAAAGAATTCTTGGCAGACCCCTATAGATGGCAAGATTGGACCAAATTGACCATCCATGTGAGGTGCACATGTTCAATAACTAACGGAAGTGAGAGAGATTTGACAGAAATTAATGGTTGTCCTTGAATTGCTTGGAATTGGAAACTACAGAGACAAAAGTGATTAAATTGAAACAACATGGACAAAAATAGTAAAATTGGCAAAATATAGAGACCAAAAGTGACTTATTGCCTTACTAATAAGTAAATTATTGACGTATACATTGACGCATAATTTGATGAGAAGAGAGGGTTGACGGAAGAGGAAGAAAGATGGAAGATATGGAGAAGAGAGGTTGACGGCTAGTGATGGTGCACATAGAAGGAATTAGGACTCAATGAGATTTAGGTTATTTGAATTCACGGAATTATTTGAATTCACAGAATTCACTTGTATTTTGAAACTACACGATTATTGGTTCTTGAATTCATTTAGCTTATTCTTTACAGTGGCCATATGTTTTTTAAGTGTCCGATTGAAAACTGTAATCGTGGGTTTGTCATGGTAGCTTTCATTTCTGAATTCGATCTTCTTTTTGTATTCTGCCGAGCAGTGGTGGAACCAGGATTTCACATTAGAGGGGGCCCTTCAAAAAAAAAATTCAAATAATTCGAATAGGAGCCCTCAAGCGCTATCTGAGTTAATAAGTTAATAATATCGTTTCATACTGATTAATCATTTATCCATTTATTACAATCAAAATTGTCCTGAATTTCATATTTTAACACGGTTGAATATTAATCTCATCATCTACACTATTAAAGACTCAAAATTTAATAATTTATACTTCAACATAGAGAAGAAATATAAAAAATGTTCATAAATCCCAATATTAAGATGCCCTACTTAGACATGTAAAATGGGGGAAAGGGGAATTCACAAAGCTTAAGTTAATCAAAAGAGAAAGAGAAGGTGAAAAAACATGAATTTTTACCGTTTTTACTTCAGGAAGCCAACATATAGTAACACATATAAGTAAAAATATGAGAAAATAAAAATATGAGAGAGGGCCTGGGCCCACACTGGTCCTTAGGTGGCTTCGCCACTGCTGCCGAGTATAGTTTCCTTTTTAAAAAATTAAAAAAATCGGGTAGAACCGCGCGGCTATACTATTTTTAAAAAAATTATTCATATTTTCTCATCTCAGCCATGACATGAGAGGGCTACATTACACAGAATAAATATTCACATATCAGTTATTTATGTGTATATGTATGTTGTTTTGGTTAAACAAAAAAAATACAAGGAGGCAGAGAAAAAATAAGATCATAGTCTTGCCAGATCAGGAAGGATTTGTGATGGGAAATTGAGACCATCAGATTGATCATGCTACAAGTTCTTCCTTCTCCTTGCAAAGTTCTAGGTGCTGTTTCATAATATAGAGTTCTCTTTCAAGTCCCCGAATTTGGGCATTGAGACTTCTGATAATGCCAAGACAACCACGCACAGGATCATTTTTCCTTGCATTCCCTTCCCTTCCGTGAGAATGCTTTCAGCAGCTGCCTGTCTTTGATCAGGTGCAGCCATGGCCATGATCTTTTGGATGTTGCTCACACCAAAGATCTTATGAGCATTTTGGAACTCACTGTACCTGCTGGCTGGAAAGTATGGGGCCATTTCACAGGTCTCATCACATTTTCTCCTCTGCTGCTTTCAGGAATCACAGTCTACGGGTATATCTTCTCTCTTACTCTGGGGCTTGTGGGTTTTGGAGAGGCAAGAAGTTACTATTGAAGAGGTGCCCGGTAATAAATCGGAAAACACAAAGTATAGCCGCGCGGCTGTACTATTTCTCCAAAACAAATCGGAAAAACAGAGTATGGCCGCGCGGCTATACTATTTCTCTATACAAATGGGGAAGACAGCCGCGCGGCAAAGACTAGTATCGCCGCGCGGCTGTACTATTTGTTTAAAGAAATCGGGAAAACCGGGTATAGCCGCACGGCCGTACTATTTCTTTAAATAAATCGAAAAACAGAGTATGGCCGTGCGGCTATACGATTTCTTTAAACAAATTGGGAAAACCGCGTATAGCAAATTCGGAAAAACAGAGTATGAATGACCGGCTATACTATTTGTTATTTTGGGCAGAGGCTAATGCGAAGGAAGCTGATATATCTTATAGTGGAGTTGGAGCTGCTTCTTCAGGTAATATCGTAAATATGTGTATAGATGTATGTAGCAGTATATGTTTGTATTTCATTCCCCCCACTCTCTCTCTCTCTCTCTCTCTCTCTCTCTCTGGGGCTTGTGGGTTTTGGAGAGGCAAGAAGTCTATTGAAGAGGTGACACGTAATAAATTGGAAAAACAAAGTATAGCCGCGCAGCGACACTGTTTCTTCAAACAAATTGGGAAAACCGAGTATAGCCGGACGGCTGTACTATTTCTGTAAACATTTAAAAAATTTAGTATAGCCACGCGGCTATACTATTTCTTTTAAACAAATTAAAAACCAAGTATAGCCGCACTGCTATACGATTTATGAAAAAAAATAAAATAAAAGAGACGAGTAAAGCCGACCGGCTATACGAATTTTTAAAAAAAAATTAGAAACAACCGCGTATAGCTGCGCGGCTATACTATTTCTTTGAAACAAATTAGAAAAACCAAGTATGAAAGACCAGCTATACTATTTCTTGAAAAAATTTATAAAAAAAGAGTATAGCTGGTTGGCGATACTATGTATTAAAAAAGATAAAATAAAATATCCGAGTAAAGCCGCGCGGTGTCATGTGTATGTATATGTGAGTATTATTCTTAGATCATTGAATACCGAGCAATATAAATAGTAATTGGAACAATCTTTAAAGTATAGAAATTTTAAAAGTATTGCCGCGCTTTAAAAGTATAAAATTAGTTTATTTACTTTGAACTTCTTTAATTTAATATATGTAATTAAGTAATATCTTAGTCTTTTTTAATTACTTTAATTAGTAATTATATTTTAATTATTGTTTTTTGTGTGTGAATATTTAAATAATTTACTAATTTCATAAATTACTTAATAAATAGTAATTAATTATTTTATACGAAATTAGTTTGGGTGAATCTAAGTCTCGAACCAAAAACCCTAGCTTCCGAACTTCTTCCAAGATATTAACAAGTGGTAGTGTAGCCAGGCGGCTATACTCTATAAATAGAATATTTCGAACGTACCGCTGCACGGCTATACTCTTTAAATAGAATATTTTAAATGTATAGCCAGGCGGCTATACCCTTTGAATAACATAATCTGGATTTCTCTCTTTAATTACTTTAATTAGTTGTTATGTTTTAATTATTATTTACATAGTGAATAATTAGTATTTAATTATTTTATTAAAGAAAAAAATTTAAAAAAAATTAATTACTATTTATCAAGTAATATAATTTATGAAGTTAATTAAAATATTTAATACTAATTATTCACTAAAGAAATAATAATTAATGAAAATAATTAAATAAGGCTAAGATATTATTTAATTACTAAAAACAAAACTTAAAATAAAAATTTATTGCCTTAAAGATACTAAGTTTAAATTTATTTTTTTTAAAACCTCCAAAAACGAAATTCGTTCGGCAAAAATCTTTCCCGGTGACGGATTAGACCTCTCCCGATGATTATTCATCGGGAGAGGTCTACATGCAAATATTTATCGGCATAGACCTTTGCTGACAAAATTTCATTGGAATAGGTTTTCTTTTAAAAATCATCGGGAGAGGTCTACATGCAAATATTTGTCGGCATAGACCTTTGCTGACAAAATTTCATTGGAATAGGTTTTCTTTTTTTTTAATATTTTAAAAGTATAGCCGAACGGCTATACTCTATAACTAGAAATTTTAAACGTTACAAGTAGAATATTTTAATAGTATAGCCGCACGGCTATACGTTATAAATAGAAATTTTCGAAGTTTCGCCGCGCGGCTTTACTCTATAAATAGCAAAAAGCATCGCTCTTCAACTCTCCATTAATGAACCCACACATCTCTCTCTAACTTTACAACTACTATTGATTTATATATTGTTGGACCATTGATTTATGACTCTGATATCAATCTTCGTCTGAGTTTGTGGTCTCGTGTTTTGCAAGTGCATATTGATTTCTCTTCCATCCAGTTTGGTTGTATTTGGCATGATATGGAAATCAATGCACCCTGGTGTGCTTCATATCTTGTTGATATCTTTTTTGGGGTTCTAATCACTTGGTATTCCGGTGCCCTCCAATGCTTATGTATCCTTCCTAGTGCTTTACTGATGACCTGGGTCTTATAAGTTTCCTGCTGTTTCTGAGATTCATCCCTTGTAATTTTGCAATAATTTCTCTCTTTTAATGCCGTGTCGGTGAATTTTACTTTTAGTCCTGACTTAAGGCTTGAATTTTATGTTCCTCCATTGATTTTATTTTGGCTGATGTCATGTGAGAGTATGCAATAGTTTACTAGGTTCTGTTCTGTGTTGGTTCTCTGAAAGTCAGTCTTAGCTTTTGATCTGCGGGGTGAGTTGGAATCTGGTTTCATGCTTATTTGGTTTGAAATCTTACTCTTTTGTGAAAGTGATGTAGAGATTTGGTAGTACATGGTTTTATTGCTTCTAGTTATTGATACAATTTTAAACGAGGCTTTGTTGTCATTTGCAGGTTCTTGGCAGTATTTAATCTATTAAGATGATTCAAAATGAATTGTTGCTAAAGTTAAGAAGTACTTTCTATTTGCATAATATTTTTGTAAAAGCTCAAGCAGAAGAACCATTTTATGCAATATTTATAGACATAACTGGATAAAGTTAGGTACTAGTATTAAAAAATTTGTAAAGTGATCATCGGAGAAATGGATATCTTTTTCAAACAACAGAAAGTCCTAAATTACGATGTAGGACGAATATCATTATCTAAATTACCCAGGGGAGTGAAATTTTTGTAAGTGTTCATTATATCTTAACATTACCTCAATAATCCTTGTGATGGCACTGGAGTTGGCACAATTTTGTGTATAGTTATACACAACTTCTCTTGCATTTAATCATGCATATGCAAAGGCATATTGGGCTCAACATGCATTTCCTCGCACATCGTAAACCACAAGGAATAAGATGACCATTTGGAACCACAAGATTTGTATTGGAAGGATCAGAGACATCATCAATTTGACCAAGAGTGTTGCCATTTGGAACCGCATTGGTACAAGAGGGATTAATATCAGCTCGAGCTATTGCAAGCACAAGCATGCTCATCAAAACCACAGCCCTGAACACTAGCATCCATTGCTCCTCACTTTTCTTTGTTTTTTTTTTAATTCAACTCTGTTTGATTCTCGAAGTTTGTTGGTGCTGGAAGTGGAAGCTAAAGCCACAATTTATAGGGAGACTACTGTTAATTATTGTGGTTTGCCTTATTGTTTAGTTGTTGTTGGTGATTCATTGTTGTGTTGCAGTGGCGGAGTGGGCAAATGAAGCTCCTCAAGGTCTTGGAAAGGGAAAAATGAAAAGATTCGTTAATATGCTCAAGATTCCTTCCTATAAATTGGCAGAAGAATGTAGTTTCAGGAAATCAATGATGACAAGAGAGCAATTTGGCTTGAAAAATTGTGTCCTTTGTATGACAACATGCATCACAGGGATCAACTTGAAGCTCTCCACCTCTCCATCTGTTCAATAAGGGGAAAATTGCAGATGGTTTAGGATGAAATGAAAGGTAAAAAATGACTTGAAGCTCTCCAGTTTTCTAGTGGTTGGAAGGTTCATCATGCGTTCAGAAGGACTATCAGGAACAACCCTATACCAGTCCTAAAGGTTATTAGTGCGCAGGATAATACAAAAAATTTTAAAAATATATATTTTTTAAACCACGATTAACCATAGATATATAAGGGAACAAAAATCATCAAACAGATCAAACAAAATGTCAATGAAACTTGAATTTTTTCGGACAGGCTTAACCCTGTTTTGACTTAATGCAGATTGCAGACTAGGGTTGGTTGGTTCTCACAAATGTCTACTGTGCTTGTTTCCCTATTTCTACAATTTTTTTCTTTTCCTACATATATATAAGAATAAAAAATAAAAATAAACCCTATAGATATGCTTAATGTCCTACACTGAGGGCAACAGAACCTACATACTTTACCAACCTCAACAGAATCTACATACTTTACCAACCTCGGAAGCAAATATCCCTTCTTGTTGAAACCATTCCTTCCAATCCATACTCTGCATTACGAAAAATCGGCCTAGGCGGCCTGGGCGGGTCTGGGCGGCCTGGGCAGGTCTGCGCGGCGCTAGGAGGGTTTGGGCGGCGCTAGGCGAGTCTAGGCGGCGCTAGGCGGGTCTAGGCTGCGCTAGGAGGCTCTAGGCGGGTCTAGGCGGCGCTAGGAGGGTCTGGGTGCCAGGGTGGGTCTGGTTCTTTAGGGTTTAGGGTCTGGGTGCCAGGGTGGTTCTGATTCATATGGGGAGATGATCCTGACCTGCTTCTAATTTTCACATTCACAGAATGAATATGGAATTTGCTTCTAATTATAGTTATTAATCATGTATTATTTTGTTTTTAAAAAAAAAATTGTAAAAGCTGCGGTGGCATGGGGAGCTGGAAAGCCTTTGGTGATAGAGGAAGTGAATGTGAATCCACCTCAGGCAATGGAGATAAGGATCAAAGTCGTCTGCACCTCTCTCTGTCGCAGTGACATCACTGCCTGGGAGTCTCAAGTACTCTCATCTTCTTATTTTGTCGTCCTCTTTTCCCCATTTCTTTTCTTCTTCTGTTCAACACAAATAGAGATAAAACAATATTACTTTTCCTTCAGTTCTTTTTTTCTTGTTTCCTGCTTCTTGAACATCTAGGAAAATAATCATTATCTGGCTAGGAAAATTCGTTTAACTATTACTTATGGTTTCTGTCTGACCAAGAAAAATTAAAACTTTGTTTGTGCCACTGCCAGATATGCTTTCTTCTTTCCGGATGGATTAATTTTCTTGTAAAACAATTGTCTGCGCAACAAATGCAAATGTCATTGCCTTGCGTAAAACAACCCGATGTCATCACCTGCAAAGGTATGTATGTTATTTCTACAATGCATGCTTGCTGCAATCTTCACATTCACGGTATGAATATGGAATTTGCTTCTAATTATAGTTATTAACATGTATTATTTTTCGATGGAAAAGATCAAAGAATATGAAGCACACACAGACTTTATCAGGAGTGTTGCTGTCCATCCCACTCTACCATATCTGTTGTCATGTTCTGATGACAAGGTTATAAAGCTTTGGGATTGGGAGAAGGATTGGTCATGTACTCAGATCTTCGAGGGGCATTCGCACTATGTGATGCAAGTGGCATTTAATCTGAAAGACCCCAATACTTTTGCTAGTTCGCTTGATGGCACCATTAAGGTACTGAAGGCACTGTTAATTTGTTGCAAATTACTTAACTGCAATATTTCTGGTGTCATGACCTTTGTGACACTTAAATTTTTACAATGTCCTGTTTCATTGTAGATATGGAACATTAGTTCTCCTACCACAGGGTTTACCTTAGATGGCCACTCAAAAGGAGTTAATTGCATCGATTACTTCAGTCACAGGGATAAACCATATCTATTGAGTGGCTCTGATGACTTTACTGCTAAGGTTTGGGACCAAATGCTGGTTATCAGCTTTCTGTTTAGCTCTATATGTACAGCGTACGATTATGATGCGTATGTGTGTCATACTAATTTGAATTTTATTTGTAAATCTTTTTGGCAACAAGTATGGGACATTGAAACCAAAAGTTGTGTGCAAACTCTAGAAGGTCATGAGCACAATGTAACAGCTGTATGTGTTCATGCTGAGCTTCCCATAATAATTACAGTTTCTGAGGATGGGAACGTTCACTTATGGAATGCAACCACTTTTAGGTAACTTCTGATCCAAACTACTTACATTACAAATTAAATTGACTCAGTTTTCTGTTTAATTCCTGCTATTGCATTGCTTTTATCGAAACTCATGTTGTAAATGATTCTTGTTGTATCACAGGCTAGAGGACAAATTGAACTATGCTCTTGGAAGAGTATGGGCCATTGGACACTTGAAAGGATCAAACAAGTAAGTTTCTTTTTTGTTCTTTCTTGTGGGTTAAGATGTGTACCAGAGAGGATGATTTGTTCGAGTAACCGTTTGATATACAAGCATGTAAGATGTGTACCAGAGAGGATGATTTTTCGAGTAACCGTTTGATATACAAGCATGTAAATGTGGCAAAGGACTTTCAATTTGTTGCCCTTACCTTGTTAGGATTTGTTTTATTGCATTGTTTGACCAGCATATTTATCAAATATACTTTCCTTGCCTCCTACAGGGTTGAGGGTTGCATTTGGTTTTGACAAATGAATGGCTCTCATACTTGGGATTCTGTTGACCTCCAAGCTTTGAAGGAAAGGTTGAAGGAATAAAGACTGATGCCTATAAATTCAAGAATTATTTTACCTTCTACATGCACCTCAAAATTTCAAGAAAGAAATAAGGGATATATAGAGCAATATGGAAGGAAAAAGGGTTCCAGGAGACTTGTGCAAGCAGTACTCATCGTCATGACTCATGATGATGATCGTGTTTTCGGTGAGTCAAGTGCAGGCTCAGTCGATAACGTGCCTGCTCAAATGCATGCTCTTCTGTCATTGTGTTAAAGCCAGCACAATTTGTACAGGCTTGTGTTTGAAAGATTGTAAGAAGACGCTCCCAGACCCTCTCTACTACTGTAATCTTGGTTGCACAACTTCCATCTGCACCAACCTCAGCCCTGGTATGTTACATGCATATCAAATATGATCACCTCAATATCCAAAATCACAAATGGGACCTGAATTTCCATATCCATCTTTTTTATTTTTGGGTGGAGATTATGTTGTTATTAATCCTGTTGATAAAATTAACGCTGATGTGCAAACATGAATCGTTTTTTTTTTTTTTTTCCTACTTGTGTTCAAAGTAGATTCTTACTTAAATTGCTTGATGTGAAACATGCAGAAAAGCTAGATGGTTGTGCGGATTCAGGCTCAGAAAACTGCAGAGAAGTTTATGCTGCCAACTAGTATTTGTATAAGCATAATGAATAAAAGACTCTCAACTGGTATTTGTAATAGCAGACAATATATTGTTGAATAAGAAAATATTGAGAGGCTTCTAATTTAAATAAATCTATGATTGAGGTGGTTGTCGGGCCTGTCATTGAGGTAAGAAATCTATCATTTTCGTGTCATAAATTTCTTACCTTCATCATCTGAACGTGATATGAACTATCTGCTTGCCCTCAATTTGAACCCTCTATGAACAATTGAACAAAATCCAAACCCATATATCATAATTTTTGAAGAACGCTAAGCCCAAAACAAACCCCAAAAGAATTCTTGGCAGACCCCTATAGATGGCAAGATTGGACCAAATTGACCCTCCATGTGAGGTGCACAGAACATCCCTGCTAATTTCATTTGTTATGCTTAAAGTAGACCACTAAATATCAGGCCAGGAAGGACCCCTTGCTCTTCCAGTTGCCTCAGATTACATCCTAAAATCCCGCCAGTTCTTGGGTCAAGTAGTTTCACCAATTACATTGACATTAAAGTGCACCAGAGCCGTCTAATTTAGGAACATGTCATGTAAATCCATCTCTTTCGGGGTCGAGGAATGCCCATGTTATTTCATCAAGGTCTGGAGGCTCTAGATACCAAAAGCAAACTATTCAAGCAAGCTCCCACTGAGCACTGACAACCTAAATACTGATAGAATAGAAACTAAAATGCCTTAAAGCAAGATGAAAGCTCGTTACAAACCAGTCCACCAGCAACTAGATGATCAAGCATCCCTGGATGTATAAATATAAGTGGGTTTCTGTTGACTTCTCTTCGCTGTCCATAGAAACTTCTTCCCATCCTTCTCAACATAGCCATTTATGTGCACTCCATAAGCCTATTCCAACACATAAAAAATGTTAAAAATGAAAAGTTGCAAGAAAATCAAATGAACAACAATAAAAGAGTTAGCTGGCTTCCTTCCTATGTGACCATTGAAAAAGCGACCAGACTCAATGCTACCGCTGAAATTTCAAACCCTACAAAAAAATCTTATATTCCTCTCTAGCCAACACTATAGCGCACACAGTGTCACCTCCAAAACCTCATTATCAGGCCCCTTCACAGACCTCCATCTCCATGTCGATCTAATAACAAACTACGTACAGTACAGGCATTGCTAGATACATATATAGTGCCAATTAATCCATTCATCATACAGATTAATATAGCCAAAATGACTTGCTAGAGATGCATCAAAAATTGATTATAATTCACTGTTTAATCCCCTAGACCAAGGTTAAAAAAAGTTGGCGCAAATCGCAGAAACAAACTGTAGCTCATTCCTTATAGCTGGACTATGTTCTTCCCCTAAGCTTTTGATTACATCTCCCACAGATCTTGTCCTGTGCTCAGCGATGAATCCAACCGCCATTAGAGTTTGAATTTTCTGGTGGGAAAGTAAACACGTCCTTGAATTCACGGATTATTTGAATTCACGGAATTTGAGCTTACCCTTTGTGAACGGTCCTCAATTACAAAGGGAAGGAACTCAGAGTGCGATTCCTGCAAGCAGTTTCAATAAAATGTGGAGTGGAGTGGACTGTGGAGAGATAAACGAACAATTGGTCTGTTTCTGTTTGGCAGCTGAGAAAATGTATTGTATAACTTGTTTGTGCAAATAATCTCGCGGGAGAATATTCTCCTATGGATCCTTCAACCTTCAATCTTCCTTCTCTCTCCTTCTCGATTCCTGTAAAAAAGATTGGAGTAAATAAACCACACTCGGGGGGTGTTGGCCAAAGGCGCTCCGATGCCTAAGTTAGTTCGAGTGTTTATAGGAAAACAATAGCTAAGCAAAGGGTACGGAGTTGTATGTATGGTGTGAAGGTACGGAGTTGTATGTATGGTGTGAAGGTACGGAGTTGTATGTATGGTGTGAACCGGGCGGCCGGAGCTCCGGGTATTTTTCTCGGGTATCAGGAGTAGGTTTAGATGTGTGGTTTTTGAAGTACCTTGAATGATGAATGAAGTCATCTATTTATAGGAGCCTCGGGGCTAGGGTTTCGTAGAGATTACATCGGACTTGATTACATCCTTTTATTATGATAATATCTGAATTAATGATATTATCTCATTAATTATGAGATAATATCCTGTAATTCAGATATTATCCTCTTATTATGATAATATCCCAATTAATGATATTATCTTATTAAATAAAGATAATTATCTTATAATTAAGATATTATCCCTATTAATTAATTAACCAAATAAATTGGTTTAATTAATTTAAGGGATAATCTTCTTTTCCATGTGGCGTGCTGTGATTGGAGACGAAAATATTTGCTCCCACATAACTTACCAAGGAAAGCGTGATTGCAGATTTTGATCTTTTCCGAGTAGCCCTTGAGATCTGAATCGGTTTGGATATCGTAACAACGCTGTCCCAAATGAAGACATTATCGGAGGTTGAGACTGATGTAGTACGACAAGTGACAACTTTGTGAAAAGCTTTCTAGTTGGAACGAATTGGGAACGACGCCGTAAGCGCCTTGGGGAAAGCACGAAAAGCTTTGGCGGTAAAATGGAAGGTCAGAGAGTCGACGAGTCTGTGAGAGCTGAGGAATGCCGCTGCTACAGCCCATGAGAGCGGGTTCGAAAATACTTTGACTTTAAAGAAAACTTGAGTTTAGCATTGATGCCACAACTCCAAATATACTCAGGGCCGGCCCTTGCCCAGGGCAACCAGGGCCACCGCCCGGGGCCCACGATTGAGAAGGGCACAAAAAAAATTTATATTAGCTTATATATATGTATATGATCAGACAAAAAAATATATATGTATATGCAAAACAAAATTATAAGTGCTCATAAAAAAATAAAATAACTAAAAGTAATGGGTATGGCTACATTATATTGCCCCTATGCTCAACTAGTGTACATATTACCTTATTTCCATTTTCAACATTTAAGTAAATGTCTTTGTCCTTTTACTTTCATTTATTTTTATATTACTCCATTTACTTAAGTTTACAATGTAAATAAGGAAGTACCCCCCATTTGGATTCAAATAAAAATACTAGAAAATCAAATTCCCACCAAATAAAAATATGAAAAATCGGTTTTAGTGCAAAATACGATTTATGCTAAAAATGATGGCTCATTAAGTCAATATATACTTCATACTAAAATTCCATAAAATCAAGTTTTCTTATTTGATGTGTAAGGAATAAAAGCCGCCAAAAATTATCTTGAGAAAATGATTATTCCGAAAAACCATTTTTCATACTTAGTCAATATTGCACCTCCGCTAAAAAAATTATGGGTCCGCCAATGGTGGCAGGCATAAGAATTCTCTCTCTCTCTCTCTCTCTCTCTCTCTCTCTCTCAAAGCATGCATCTCCTCCCTAGGTTTCTCTAAACAAGGATTTTCTTATCAGGCTTTTGGTTTTTGTCTCAAATGGTGAGGAAGGCTATTTCAATCGATTCTCATACTTGCAAATTGCAATACACTATAGTTAATGAGTTTTGTCAAATTGGGTCGGTAATTATTTAGAATGGGTTATGGATAATTTGGTTTGATGGGGATTAGGTGTCTTGAGAGCTAGCTGGGTGGGTGGGTGCTATTCGGCTTGTGGTAGATGGTGGTGTTTGGGTGGTGGCTTGTTTGGTGCAGCCTGGGAAGGAAGTGATGAAGTTTTTCATTTTTTTTTAATATTCTAAAATAATTTTTTAAAATTGTTAACATCCATGCTGGATTTACACTTAAGATGAGTTACATAAGTCCTTATAAGTTATTTTACAAAAAGATAAACTTGTCTTTAAAATTTTAAAGATATGGTGGGTGGGAAAATAGGACAAAATGATGGAAATACAGCACTCAATTAATTATTTGATTAAAAAAAATAATAATTTATGAATAAAGGGCACACTCTTAGAGTTTTGCCCTGGGCCTTCAGTCACCCAGGGCCGGCCCTGAATATACTTTGACATTTGTATTAAAAAATATATATATATAATTAGTTCAGTTGAGTGTAAATCACTAATATGACGTAAAAACCATGAATCGAACTGATCAAGCCGAGTTTGGTTTGGTGTTTGAGCCAAGGTTGACATTTTTTTCTTCTTCAGTTTTTCTCGTTTCAGTCCACCAGTACAACTGTTTTTTGTCCACCCCTACGTAGGGTATGTATATGTGCATCTCTTGGTTTCATACTGTCACGACCCAATTCGAAAACAAGGAATATTCACGAATCATGGTGTGAGTCATACCATAGTCATAAGAATAAAATCCTACAACCATGATATGATGAGAAATAGAGCCACAAAATAATTCAAATTTACTTAACATCACAAAATCAGAGTCGCAGTAGCTTGTAGTTAACTAAGATCTTTAACAAACGGTTGATTACTTACAAATATTAATTGCACAAATCAACAATAAAAGCCCAGCAGCTTAGTTGAACCTGCTTCCTCAAACTTCTTCTTTAATCCTGCACAATCTATTAGGGTATGAGCATTCTAATGCTCAGTAGAGTACCGTCAAACCCTTCAAGGTCAGCTATCACAATTAATCAAAGTGTCATGCATCAAACAACACAAGATATATAAATTATACAATCATACCAGATAAATAAATTTGCATATGCGGTGATGCCATGAACTCACTCCCTTCTAATCCCACTAATTCATATCTTAGGGCAACAAGTCTGCATGTCCCATACCATGCGTTTTACCATTGTGGCTCCGAATACCCTAAAATATGAACTAACGCCCATCCGTCCCTTAACCCTTTTTTTTTTGTTTACGAACTTCTCAACTTTCACTTATCATTAGAGGCCATGCTCCCATCACCTCAATATATTCAAGCTCTGCTCCCGTCACTTGAATATACTACACATTTTATTTACTTCGATATATCTAAGGCCTTCTCCCACCACTTAGATATACCTCAAACGATACACACACACACACCCCAAACACTACTGTCTTTATGATGCATATGTAATGCAACGCAAACATCATTTATCTCTGCAGAATAATAATATAGATAATAACAATAATATTCCAGGCTTAATCACATGCATAATAATATTCACTCAACTTCAAATAATATCCACGGAGAAACATCAACAATAATGTTCACATAATATCAAATAGTATTCACCGAGCAACGCAATAATAATATTCATATTTATAGTACTATATATAAGCACCAAGATTAAAAGTGACATAGCCCAATCATTGGGAAATCAGGAAACCCTACCTCATGTCCAGCTAGCTTAACCTTGTGCGGTTTCGTCCTCGAAAGTACGCAGAGTAGAACACCTAGTTAAGATAATTTTCTTATTAAAATTCATTGGAAATAAGGAAACAAATTTGAGTGTCCTACTAGCGCATGTAGACCTAAAACCCCATAAAACACTTGACAAGTTGTTTGACCTGATTGTTACTCCCTTAACCTCACATCCAAGCAAGCATAGAACCAAGCGTTAAGGAAAAACTAATCTATTTCCCTCCTATAATAGTTATACTCTTTGGGATGTTTAAAATCAGGTGGTTCGGCTCTAGACTCATAAAGAAAATTTAAAACATCAATTTAAAACTAAAATTTCAGTTTTGCTAAACATTTGGGTTGGAACACGTTAATTTTGAAAATTCAATAAATATTGAGTTCAAATCAAAATAATGTAAAACTTTCAAGATCACAACTAGATATAGAAACATTAAATATGTCAAAATTTGATAAAAATTAGGGTTAAGGAAGCATGTCAAAATAGAAACCAAAACAG